ATGAATAGTAGTTGAGATATACACAGGAAGTGACAGCAAAGAGGAACACCTGCATAAGCACTGCTACAAACAGCAGTAAAGAATCTGATGTCTCTTTAGATTATTCTAAATCACGATCAGAGACAAAGAAGAGACAGAGTTTGTATGAACAAAGCCCTGAGAGTCCCGCATTGACGTCACTGCCTGTTTCTCTTTTGCCACACCAAGTTCCAAACAAAAATATGCCAGTTAGGTGATAAAATGGGGTAAAATCATGTTTAATATGCCTAATTTCTTTAGTAATAACATGGTTTCTTCTAATTTTTTGAATGTGTAGGAACTGTTTGTCACAGAGGTTTTAAGTTTTAGACACAAGCTTTATTTTCTTGGACAAGTGGTGTTTTACCAAATATGTCTAATAAAATGGAAAAAAAACATAAATATGTCGCTTCGCCGTATAAGTCGCAGAACTTGCAAATTTATGCAAAAAGGTGCAACTTATAAGGCGAAAAATGTGGTAACTTTTCTACTGATGCTCAATCTGTGCTGAATATTTAAATCTAGTAGCTGTTATAGACATGCTTGGTTTAATTTACATGTATCGGTATATAAAGATTACAAATTTTCTTTAAAAAAACTAAGGTTTTTGTTAGTCTGCCGTTTCTATTTTTCCAAAATTTTTGCTATTTAATCAAATTAGCAGCGTGTTCCTTTACTGCTCAAAGTTTGTACACTGTCTCCAAATAAAATGTTAAAAATTAAACGACACAAATTAAATTTGGTGCAGCTTCCGAACTTTTGGTAGCAAATATTTTTCATATGGGAACATTAAATATTAAATAATAATCATAGGCTTAAATAGTAAATATCTGGATGCAGTTACTTACAGAAAAACCTCATGAACTTCATATGTTGAATTAACACATGCGGATCAAATATAATTATTTGTTTTACATTTTTCTTGTGGGATTTCGTAACATTTTCATCAGTCCATGTGAAAAAGCATGCAGATCTTGTAGTTTTTCTGCAAGGCGTGCACAACTAAAGCGTTGTATTTCACTGTAATTTTTTCTGGTGCTACTTTTCTTCATATGTGTGTGTGCCTTTATCATGCAAATGAAAGCTGTCCTGCTGCAGGGCAGGTTGACACATGGTGGAATAACCTTCTGAAGGGTTTATCGCTTCAGCAACAGCTGCTCCACATGCTCCTTCAACTAAACTTTGACTGTGGGTTGAAGTTTAAACTACAATCTTTGTAAAACGGAAGGATTTAAATTAATTTGAAGTCGCGCTGAGAACATTTATAGGCAAGTGGAATAGAAAAATCCATCAATGTGTTTGGTTTGAACCTGCTACCTTGCATTGGTGCATTAGAAAATGCAATCTGGCAGCTCGTCCTGATCTGTCAAACAAGTTTTTTTTTTTCCCCTCTACTGATGTTGATCATTTTAATTCCCAGGAGAAATGTTGTGAGTTCCCCTGTAGCATTTGGAGAACATGCAGATATAAATGGGAGTGTTCGCAGGAATGAAGACAGACACTCTCACACAGAAAGAAAACATCTCAGACCCCTGCAAGGTTACAGATGCTGACACGCAGACACCGTGTCATCCACACGGTAACAAACACTGACATAAACACGTGCTCACAAACACTTTGGACTACACTACAAAGGCTGGTGACTCATTGGCAGGAAATTGGTTCATGCACTGCCTGGTACTGTTCAACTGGGCATCGCTGTCACACACACACTTATAAACAACTGACCTCCCACTGCAGATGAGGGGGAATGTTCCGGATCTGGATCTTCCGACTCCTGCAGAGATGAGAGACACACAGATGGAGTGACTTTAACGGACCTGAACCACAAACGTAGACACACTTACAGTAATCTGTTAACGGCAAAGCCAGCTAAATTTAGACTGGTTGCACATTTGCAATGTCAGCAGCTGGAGAGCAAAACTACAACAACTTGACCTGCTGGGGGCAGAAATCTCGAATCAGACCTGACAGACCTGTATTATGAAGTATGCACATGCATTTCACATAAAGGGAAACAGACTGCAGCACCCATCAGAGGGCTGCTACAGAAGAGTTGAGGCAAATATTGGTGCGATAGCATTTATTATACAGCACTCAGTGACTACTGGCAGCACCAAACTAATAAAACCACCGTGGGTGCAGAATCTCAAAATGTATTGTTTAGATTTTTGTTTCCTTCTGTATAAATCTCTGACATAACTTTTGTGGTGAATTGGCATAATAAAACAGACTGAATTTATTGAGTTAACATCTAAAATTCACTCTTAAAGCTATAGTTCAACTCTTCCGGCGGTGGATCAGTGGTTAGAGCTGTATTCCTCCAACATAAGAGCTGGAGGTTTGATTCCACAACTATGCAGGCACATGCTGAAGTGTCCTCCCTGGGCAAGACACTGAACCCCTCATTGCCTCCAGTGTGCCCCATCAGTGTATACATGTAATCTAAAGCACAGATTAGTCTCTTTTTATTCAGATTAGCTTGTGGAGATGTAGTAGAGGGATGTATGAATGTGTGAACGGGTAAACGAGGACACAAATTGTGTTGTGAAACACTTTATGAGTAGCCTGATTGGCTCAAATGGTGATATTCATTATAATAGTCCATTTATCATCTTTTGCAGAGTAGTTTGGTGAAAAGGCTTTGAAAAATCCAGTTAGGCAAAATAAAGGTTAATTCTGATTGGATTCACAAGCTAAAAGACAAAAGTGGAAATAGTGAGGAGACTTCCTGTCACCAGCATTTGGATAATGCATAAATCAACATCTAATTCCCGGTGAGAAATTGTTCACTTTAATTCTTCTTCTTGGCTTTTAGATAAACAGTTACAAAATCATTGCCACCTACGAGTGTAGAGAAAAATGTGGACTCCTGAGTGGAATAAAATGGTGTAGCTGAAGTAAGAACAAGAGCGCAGGTGAGCGCAAATGTTTATTTACTCTGAAAAGCATGAGCAACTCTGTTTCCACACTTCATCTAAACCAGGGGTGATTCTAGAATAAGCCCTTCAGGGGTGCTTAGCCCCCAGTGCTTATAATAGCTCTTGGCTTGAACACCATGGTGGTCATTGGCATCAGAAGCATTTGTTATGTGGGGATGGACACACTGGTGGGGGGGTCTGGGGGTCCTCACCCATAAAATTTTGAATAAAGTAGATGTCATTTCCTGCATTCTGGTGTATTTTAACATGTTGCTAAACATATATGTTTACCTACATAAGTAAATGCTTGATTCAATAACTATTTTAGAGAGCAGGACACAACAAGAAGTAGCCTGACCAACAGCTCTCCTTATGTGAATAGAGCCCCCCCTCCCTCCGACAACTGCCGTCACTAACTAGCGAAATGTTGAAGGAGGAAAAGGAGGTGCAGTTTCTGCAGGTAAGGCGTTTACCTTTGGGACAAACCGAGATCACTGATTGGTCAGTTCCTGACAAGCCTACTGGATTGATTGACAAGTGGCGTTGAGGATCCGATTCGTAAAAAAAATATCAGATTTTACTGGCCTGTTTAAGAATATGGGCAGCACGGTGGCACAACTGGTAGAGCTGCTGCCTCTCAGCGAGCAGGTCCTTGGTTCAAACCCCGGTCCAGGGGCCTTTCTGGGTGGAGTTTGCATGTTCTCTCCGTGCATGTGTGGGTTTTCTCCGGGTGCTCCGGTTTCCTCCCACAGACCAAAAACATGCATGTTAGGCTGATTGGTAACTCTAAATTGTCCCTAGGTGTGAGTGAGAGAGTGAATGGTTGTTTGTCTCGTTTGTCTCTATGTGGCCCTGTGAAGGACTTGCGACCCGTCCAGGGTGTACCCCGCCCCTCGCACAGTGATTGCTGGACATGGGCACCAGCGACCCCCGTGACCCAAAATGGAATAAGCGGGTAAAGATAATGGATGGATGGATGTTTAAGAATATTATTTATTCCAAATTTATTCAATATTCTGGTGAATCTAAGGTTTAAGAACTGAGATTTCTTACAAAATCCCAATGATGGTTTCTTAATTTTTCAAGGATGCTGAGTTAAAATTTAGCCATGCTTGAGAACCCCCAAAAAGAGGCTAAAATTGCCACAGGTGTAAACGCTACTTTACAAACCTTTCCATCGTCCTCAATTTTGCTTTACATTTCGAACAACTCTTTCGGTGCAGCCTGGGGTACGTCTGCAGGAATAACTTAATATTTCTGAAATATTTGTGTGAAGCATAATTAACGACAGTGTGCAGGTTTAGAAAGTCCTGTTTATATTACCCGATATGAAATACTTGAGAGTGACGTTGATTTAAGATGGCAACAATCTGTTATGGAAATGGCCACACTCGGACTCGTCATTAGCTTGTCAATCTGGTTAGAATTAAACACTCTCTAAATGGAGATGGTATTAATAGTTTGTAACATTATAACAAAACCCAACTTCAAAAGGATCTAACCAACGCATTTAACAAGGTGTGATGATTTTCTTTAAACTAGGCCTGAAAGAAACCATCGAAAACCATACTAATCCACAAGTTCAGTTTTATTTTTCCACGGCACTAATTATACATCTGTAATATTTGTTATTATTTAGGACCCCCGCAAGGTTACAGATGTTGACACACCGACCGTGTCATTATGTAATATCATCACTATGAGGGGTGTATTCAACAAGAAAACACACATCCTGCAAACCAAGTCGATGGTTTTTCCACAGACTGAGTTATCTACTGTAAAAAAAAAAAAAACTGCTTTAGATTTGAATTCTGAGAAATCATTCCAGTTTATTCAATTCACACACATTTACTTTTTAATCCAAAACTGCAAGAAAGGACTAAACTACATTGTCAAGGTAACAAGCACTTAATATCTTTAGAAAATACAATGTGTCCAACAAAACAGAGTCAGAGTCAGACAGAGTCCTTGTATTCCTGCTCCTTTTCAGCCCCAGAGCTCAACGACCTCCTGCGAGTGCGTCGGCTCCGACAGCAACGCCACACAAACCACCCGTAACCACGAGCTGTTAACAACTACATCAAGGTGAGATCTGCGCCGACGGCTGAGCTTCTCAAAAGAACGAGCGCTTCAGACAATGCTTCACACGCCAGACCAAAGCAAAGGATGTGTAGAACCGAAGTAGAAGAGGAAATGGAACAAGAAGCAACAATAATGGGAGACTTTCAGTTTGAAAAAGTAACATGCTTTGTTCCTCCTCCACCTTGGATCCACATGCTCAGACACAAACTCCTCCATCAAAGTTTGTCTTGCTAAATACAGAAAAAGTGCAAAAGTTTGCAGATCTGATTTTTTTTCCCCGCCCCCAGCAGATAAAAAAGACAATTGTGCTGTCGGTAAGAAATAAATTAACGAGTCGTTCTGACTGAGCTGCTCAAGGACAGAATGAGGATTCATGTGGACATCTGCTCCGCACTCTTGCATTAGTTTTACCAAATACAGATAAGTAATATTAAATTCAAAGGAAACCGTTTGCTCAACTTTGACACATTTTTAGTCTTCAGACCAATAATTCCTTGAAAGAATAAACAACTTTCATGTCTAAGATTTAAACTAAGATCATCTTGTGTTAAAAAAAAGAACTGATTTGGTCAAACCTTGAAATAAGCTAAATGTGCAATCTCAGGAAACATTGCAAAATTGCCACTCAGAGTATATGTTTGGGAAGACTCAGCTACTACCACATCACATTTTAGCTCTATATCTGTATAATTGAGTAAAAGCCGTTTTTGTGTTGGCTAAAATCAATGAACTACATTGCTCATCTTAAATTGGATTCACTTGAAAAGTTAATCAGTCATATAAGTCCATTCAATGAGTATTTCTTGAAAGTTTCATTTAAATCCATCAAGTGGTTCATGAAATATTCTGCGAACAGACGAACCGGGTTGAATCCAACAGTAGCTGCTAAAGTATTAAGCAAAGATCTAGTGCATTGTGTAGCACTTCAAGCATGTGTTGTAAATGATTCTTAGCTACAACCCCAACAAATTGTATTCCAATAGCTGCCAATCTGACTAAATTATAGTCATTTTTGTGTTTCCATATGTCAGTTGGCTTTTGTGGACATTTTTAATTGGATCGGCTCCAAAGTTTAAACATTTGCTGAGGTCTGTTTAATGATGTTTTCCTTAAAGTATCATTAAATTCTGCTCAGTGGTTTATGAGATACTTTGCTAACAGACAAAGAGATTGGACTCCAAATATTTAATATCAAATTTTTACACAAAAATCCTACGACATATATTTAGCACATTAGCATTAGAGTATCAGCCTCAGCTACTACCACACCAAGTTCAATATCTGTAAAAAGACTCAATTATGACTATTTTTGTGTTTTAAAGGTCAACCGCTATGGCAGCCATCTTGAATCGGAATCAGTTAATTGGTTGTAAATGTACATACAACGACACACAAACACACAAGACACAGGCAAAAACATTAATTAAAAAAAAAACAACAACACTATTTTAAAGTGGAACAAGTGTTTCTGAATCAAAATTACAGCGATTTGTCAATGGAGAACCATACATACTTCAAACAAACAACAGAGACAAACAGCAGGTTCAAAACGACACCATACGGTGGCCTGGAAGCTTTCTGTCACCGACGGTGGTTTGTAGCAAGTGGCTCGATGAAAGAGCGCTTCTGGCAACCAGAATCCAAACACGAGCAAAACACGTCACCTATTCCCACGTAGTAAACAACCACATGGCAAGCAAACGCAGCCAATTGCTAAAAAAAAACATTTTTAGCCAACTGAAAAACCTGTAAACGGCCTCAAACGTTGGCATCC